AAAGGCATCAGTTTCTTGAGCAAAGTGAAAATGATGGCCAGAAGGATGTTGCACACAGTGCTCTTTCTGACTGTTAATGTGTCGAGCCCACATGTGTTAGTTTTGAAATGAAGAGGCATTTTGACAGCATCTTGAGACTACTTTTGGGTGCATTTCCTTCTCTTGTCAAATCCAGACTTGACCTTGGGCTAATTCTGGATTGAGTCTAAAACAGCAGTGTGATGTAGAATTAGAACATTCATACTTATAGGTAATGGAATGGTTTGAGGCTAGTGAGTTTCTTCATAATCAGATAGCTTGTAGTTATAAATAGAATTTGCCTTCTATTTTTCCATAATTGTAGATATGTCGTATGTAACAGAGCAGTTGATAAATGGACCACATAGATCAGCTCAGCTATTTCTTAGCTTCATTCTCCACTTCTTAAGTCAGAGTTGATTTTTCTGCTTGCATTTCTAAAAACAAAAAAAAGGAAAAAGAAAAAAAATATGGCTGCCTTGAACAGCTCACCAATCATTAGAGTTTTTTGCTTCTTTGGTTTTGGTCTTAACCACCAGGCCAAGAGACAGTGGGCCATCTCAGAATCATTTCATTCTAGAAAAAATATTGGGGTATAGGAGCAACACAGGACTATATTTGGCCACACGTGTAACTATTAGGATGCCAGCCTGTCTAGTTTTAAGTATCAAATGATTGGTCAGTAGGACTCTTCAACAGTGTTCATTGTCTTGGCCTAATATTTGCACTACTAGAAACATTAAAACCTATCTTATATGTGCTGCATGTGGTGGTACAACAAGCCTGTAATCCCAGCTACTCAGAAAGCAGAAACTGGAAGAATCATGTTTCAAGACCAGCCCAGGCACAAAGTTAGTGAGACCTCATCTGAATTTAAATTACAGGTACATACCTGTAATCCCAGCCATATGGGAGGCGTAGGTAAGAGGATTGGGGGCTGAGGCCTGCTGGAGCAAAAAGCATGAGACTCTATCTGGAAAATACCCAAACCAAAAAAGGTTGGGAGTGTGGTTCAAGTGGAAGAGTGCTTTCCTAACAAACAAAGGCCCATAGTTCAAACCCCAGTACTGCCAAAAACCAAACAGTATTCTGTAGCTTGTATGAATAAAAGTAGGCCATTACTGAAGAGCAGAAAAATCAGAAAATAAATGAATAGTATCAGTAGAGGTACTCTTAGCTCTGATTCTGGACTAGGAAGCTGCCAGGTACAAGCTTTCCCATGGCTTTATACCCTGACCAGGATCAGTCATTGGATGTGGCCCCCACAGGAAGGGCCTGATCATGGACAAGGCAGTCACCAATGGGGCTTACACCTGAAGTTGCCTGCCAGTGACCCTTTGCAGTTGAGTGGCTGTCTCAGGTCCATTGCAACATCCAAATTCTGTTGTTTGTGTGTCTTTATCCTCCCCATCTGTGGGGTGCTGATCCTGTCTTACTACAGCTCCTTCTCTGGGAAAAGACTTGACAGGGGCCATGTCATTCCTTGTACCTTTGTGTTGGGGCAAGGATCAGAGTGGCCAGAGGAAGCCACTGCAGAAGCTTTGGTAAAGTTCTTATTGTTCCCTAGCAAAGGGTGGTTGCCAAGTTGTGGGCTGGTTGTCTTGTAAGAAATCTTGGGTTGCGGAGGTAGTAAGGTGGCATTGAGGGTTACAGAATCTCATGAGTGTCTGGTATCTGTTTCTGCTCCAGGTGCTTAACATACTCTTGTGCTGATGTTTAAAATTAGAAGATTCTTGCCCATTAGTGTGACCTGTTGACAGGGTCAAATGTGGAGTGATAAGCTCTATGGGAAGGGGGAAGATGCCTCACCTAGAATTGCTTTCTGAATTCCTAACAAAGCCTGCCATAATTCTCAGCTGATTGCCTGGGTCCAAAGAGAGAAGTTCTTGTCTGATCCTTATGTATGTGCTATTATTTTTGCTTCACACACTTGGTGGCGAGTATGGGGACTGTTCATGGAATCCTCAAAGGCCATCCATGGGCCTAATCAAGTGCACATGTGGATCACGATCCTTAGAAAGGAAATATGAGGCTGGGCACCAGTGGCTCACCCCTGCAATTCTAGCTACGCAGGAGCAGAGATCAGGAGGATTGCAGTTTGAAGCCAGTGTTGGCAAATAGTTCTCAAGACCCTATCTCAAAAAAACCCATCACAGCAAAAAACTGGCCAAGTGGCTCAAGTGGTGGAGTGCCTGTCTAGCAAGCATGAGTCCCTGGGTTCAAACCTCACTACTGCTCCCCTTCCCTAAAAAAAAAGGAAATAGGGGAGTCTGCTGGATTCTCCTGGAGAGGTTTCCCTCAGCCCATGAAAGGAACATATCACAGAGACGTCCGATTTCTGCCTCTGAGCATTGTGCACACCTGATGTTTGAGTGGCAGTGAGTAGATGCGTGGGCCTCTTGGAATCAGGAAGGGAGCCAGCTTGAGGGAATGAGAGCAGGGTGGAAAGATCCTGGTCATTTGTGTCATTGTGGAGCAGCTGGACAGAATAGATCCAAGTCCTTGTTGTCGTGAAGCTTATTCTGGTGGGGAGAGATAGGCAGACAAAATGTTCATTATTAAAATAAGACGGTAGACACCCAGCATAACAATAAAAAAATTCACAGTGTAGGTCTGGAGGCATGGTTCAAGTGGTAGAGTGCCTGACTAGCAAGCATGAAGCTCTGAGTTCAAACTCTAGTCCCACCAAAAATAAACAAGTATTCAAAGGTGGTAAGGGCAATGGAATAAGATAGAGCAGGAGAGGGGGTGGAGAGGTAGGGTTGCACTTTTTAAAGCATAGTCAAGCAAGGTTTCCCTGAGAAGGCAATATTTACCCAAGAACCCAATAGAGACTAGGGATGTGAGATAGCATTCCAGACAGGGAGCAGTAGGTGCACACACCTGGGATATATTTAAGCGCATTATGTGTTTAAGAAACTGTGAGGGGCCACAGAACTACGAATGGAAAGCAACAGGGAGAACAGCTGGAGGTGAGTTGAGAGAAGTATTAGACCCAAGACAGAGAAGGCTTGATATGAGATGGAAACGTTGGAGGTTTGTGAGAAGGGGAGTGAGGTGATCTGACCTGTGTTAAAAAAAAAAAAAGATGTCCACAATAAAGCAGTGAAGAAAAGTTAAGGGCAAAAAGAAGCATTACTTAAGAGTAGAACATGATTTTGCGTAATCGTGTAGAAGTTCTCAGTTTTTAATTACCATGAAAAACTGGCACCAGAAGCCCTTTTGCTTATCCCAGTGTGAAGACATAACTTCCATCAGGGTTTGTTTTTAAATAACATCTTTCTGAAAATATCATTGAATTATTTTTTTTAGCAGAATATCTACCCAAAACTAAACAGTAAGGCAAATACAGTCACTCAATCCTGTGAGATAAAAAGAAGTGAATTTGATTCAGGGATGTGAGAGGGCTTTATTACCTGAGAGAGTTCCCTAAATGTTAGTAGCCAGTGCCAGAGTAGAATAGTACTTCGCTTTTCAAAATAAATAGGTAAGTTTGTCTTATTTTATTCTTGAATAAACTTATATTGAATAAAAGGTATCCTTCAGCTTTTTGTTTTGGGCTCCCCCCATATGAATCCGGGGTTGTAATGAAGTCAGTGTTCTTTACCTACTGGTAGCAAGTTCTGTGAGCCATTTCTATTAAGACATGTTGGACCGTCCGTTGTGCAATAACAGCTTGGCATCTGACTCGCTGTTACACAAATACACTTAAAACTCATTTATGGAGCAGTGAGTAACGCCAAATGAGGCTCTTTTTTGGTCAGTTATGCTTCTCTCCAGTGTGTGTGTGGATTTTTACCTAGGGTCAATACCTTTCATTGAGTCTAAGAATCAAATCTCCCATGAACCAGCTCTTTAGTTTTAGACATAAATCCTTTTAGATTAAGAATGGATACTTCCTATGAGGAGTAAATCCAGCAAACTTTGATGAGCTGACATTGACTTTGACTGAAGACAGGTTTATTTTTGGAAGCAGGATTTTTAAAGTAATTCTTTTGAATTCTTAACCTACTGGATTTTACTAAGGGAAGGGGAGGGGCTCCTGGTTGAAGAGGGAAAGGGGAGACTAGCACTTATGGAGTGCCTTCTCAGTGCCAGTGGGCAGCATTTGACCCCACATTATAAGTTGGGTAGTAGCACCTTCATTTTCACCAGAGCAGGCTGAGGCTCAGAGATGAAGTATGACTTGCTCAAAGTCATTTTGCAAATAAGTGTGGAAATGAAATTCGCACCTACATCTGGTGGCCTCAAGGCCCATGCTATCTCTCCAAAGTGGCTAGTGAAGGTAGAAGTCAACATTATACGTAACCTCGGATGAGTTTTGTTTCTCCAGGGTCTCATTTCTGACGGTGTTATTTCCATCAGCTCTGTTTGGACCTTAATAGTCCTGTGCAAAGGAGAACACTGAGGTCTTTCCTATGTCACTTCATAGATTTATTACCATGGATTTTTAAATGTAGTGTGACTACTCACTATAGCCAAACTCCGAAATTACAATAAGATCTCATTCATTTATTTCCATTTTAATAAAATGGACATTTTCTTTTAATATATCACACTTTAAGACATTTTATAGTCTGAAGACTTCTTCCTGAAATTACAAAGCATCAATTTGCAATTAAAATTGTAAAATGCCCATGATATTTAAAGAGTATATAACATTATAATGTGAATCCTGATTTAAAATGTGTACCTAGAAGTCTAGAAATGTAGTTACTGTTACTGATTTATAAAAGGAGAACCGATTAAGGATTATTCAACCAATCCTGTGATGACACTAGAATATTTAGCTGCTGAACTATTGTGTTGTTGACTCTATGTCATCTCTTAGATGGTCTCATGATTGCTTAAAATTGTCCTGGTCTAAATGTCCTATCAAATTGGAGTGGGGGAAGAATTTGAAAAGGCAATGTTAATTGTAACTGGCATGTATTAGTATCCTCTGTTTTCCTCATTTTTGTCTGTCTTCTTATTTTTTCCAGAAGAAAAATTCAAAGTGGAGACAAGGACCATTGCTGTTGACTTTACATCAGGAGATATTTATGATAAAATTAAAACAAACCTGGCAGGTCTTGAAGTTGGTGTTTTAGGTTTGTATTTTTTATTTATCGATTCTTCTTGCATTTATTATTTGGCTTACTATACCTTTATTTTCTCTTTGGGTGTAAAGTATTCATTGAGAAGAAAATTGTGTTATTAATACAGTTGATCTTCAGATGATACTAATCTGTAGATTTTTGAATCTTTGTGTTAATTATATATTAACAACTGTTGTGCAGTTTGATTATTTTCTGGGCCTGCTTTGTTTCCAGTCTCATTCTTTCTGAACATACTAAGATTTAGTTAACTATAATAATCCTATTAGATGAATGATGCTGACCTATTCACAGCTGAGGATATGAAGGCCTAGAAACTTTTTCTCTGCACCCCTGAAAATGTTGCCCCCCCACAAAAGATTTTAGACATTTTTCCTCCCAGTCTTACCCTTATGAAATTTTAATACTGCAAATATACTGTATATCTTTTTAATGAAAAAAAAATAGATAAGACCCCTACCTACACACACACACACACACACACACACACACACACCAAGTTTTGTCCTGTTGATGGAGATGATACCCCAGTTGCAAATGCATAGTTTATTTAGATTAAGGGTTTACCTAAAGTCACATAAAAATTAAGCAGCATGACTAGGTTTTAATCTTTTGTTTGTTTTCTCTGTCTGCTACTGTCTTTTGTTACACCTTTGTTACCTCATTCCTTCTAGCAAAAACTACTTTTTGCTGAGATACAGCAGCATTGAGCTTTGTCATGAAAAAGATTCACCAGAACATACTAAGAGGGGAAATGGCCAAGTTTCTCATGATCTTTTGAGAGTCATTTCTCAAAAGACATCTAGTTCAGGGAAAGCACTTTAAAAAATCTCTATTCTACTGCCTAAAATGATGGGAACCTGGAAATTGCCCTTGTTTTCTTTATCAGGCTGTAATAGGAAGATAAGTGAAAAATTCTTGAGTCATAAGACCTTTCCCTACCTTATCTTATAGAAGAATGGCCTTTTATATAATTTCTAAATAAGATAACTTTAAAAATTAGCTTTATAAGTATATCCCTACAAATAGCTTTGGATCTGCAGTCGACCCTGGCTTTTTTCAGCCTGTCAGGTCCATGTCACGCACCATGTCCGTGGCCCAGCTACCACACCACTACCCCCCACAGCTGGTTCCCTCGCTTACAGGACAACCAGTAGGTAAGAGAACACAGGTCTAGTTTTGCCTTTGTGGGTACACACTCTTCTGAAAATGCGTGTATTTCCAGAAGTCTTTCACAAGTTCATCTTCTTTAGCTTAGGGCTAGAATGTAGTAAATACCCTTAACACCTACAAAAAATTTTGACTGTTTTTAAACTTCCAAATTAGCAGCTATAACTTACTAGTTGGTATAGGCTCTGCTATGGTTTATCCCAAACCCCTTTCAAATTAGTGATGACCAAGAGAATGAAGAAGGCTGGCTTAGGCAGGAAGGTAGATTGAGAATCCCTAATAAAAGAATACTGGGGAAAAGAAAGTGTCATTACTTGCCTTGTACATGTGTTATTGGAGAATGACTTACTGTTAGAAGTAGTTTATTTCATTGTAATTGTCCTCAGCTTTGTATAAACATTAGATGCTTTTTGTAGAGAGATTGTAAAACTATAGGTACTCTGGGATTATGGCTTTTACAGAAAATGTTGGGCATTAGGTTGTTACAAGGCATTCTTCAGCTGCTCTTTCCTGACCCTGAAGTGTATATGGAAATTTTATATGCAAACTCCATATCATGAGTTTAGGCATGATAGATCTGTTACAGATGAGAATGACGACACATGGTCCCCAAGCTTTGTTGTTGTTTTATTTTGGTTTTGGTTTTGCCACTTCTAGAACCCTAGGACTTATGTCAGTGCATAAACACTGATATTTAGATGTAAGGCCTCATGCTATATTATTCTTCTAGTCCAGATCCTTAGTTGCCACCTGTGAGTTAATAGTTTATGCCCTTCTTCATTTATTCATTTACTAACTCATCAATCAATGAACAAGGAAAAGCTGTACAACGTTACATATGCAGTATAATGTTCTAATAGGCAAGGCAACACTGTGGGATTAATGTTTTGAGAATGGAAGGGCAGGGTATAATAAGAGTATAAAAAGACAAGGAGAATTGATATAGGTGAGAAATAATAGTGACTTGGCCTAGCCAGTACGTGGGGTAGGAAAAAGGAAGATTCCAGAAGTATTTAGGAAGTAGTTGAAGCTGGGCTTTGAGAGTTTGCAGGGGGGATGAAAGAAGAGAGAACTCATGCATGACGTCAGATTTCTAGCTGGAACATTTACATCAGTAGTGTCGCTTGCTAAAATGAGGATCTTTGAAGAGGAACCATTTTGAGGGTGAAGATCATTTAAGTTTGGGGTTCCTCTAGAATTTCTAAGTGGAGTTTAAGTTGATAGTTGGACGTATAGGCCTAGATTTTAGTAGTACTCTGGACCAGAGATAAGTTTGGAGATCAGTCTTCTAAGAGTAATAATTTCTTTGAAGCTATGTTACAGGAGATCATCCAAGGAGGATTGGGAGAATGTAAAGAAAAACTGAAGACAGAGCTCTTTTGAGTTCTCTTCCCTCTCCTCAAAGGCTGCTTGGAACAAATAGCACGAAGGAAGAATAGCTTTTTGTGTGTGTGTTCAGCATTGTTCAATAGAATTATAACCCAAGCCACATAAATAATTTTAACTTTCCTAGTAGCCACATTTTGAAAAAGGTAAAAAGAAACATGAACTTAATTTTAAGAATGTATTTGATCTGAACCTACTCTATCCAAAACATTAACATATTGGCAAGTAGCTAATATAAAAATTACTGAAATAGTTTGCACTTTTTTCGTAGTAAGTCTTCAAAATCTACTGTGTGTCTTATAGCATATCTAAATTCTGACCAGCATTCAATAGGCACATGTGGCTAGCCCTACTATACTACATCTCAGCTTTTCATCTTGGCTAACTCATTCTCAGATTGTGTGGGAGAACCATAAATATGATCTTTAGATTTTTCTTATGCTTCAAAGCAGTGGTTCTCAACTAAAGGCAATTTGGCAACGTTTGACAACATTTCTAATTGTCACATCTTGGTGAGGGGAGGGTAGTTCACCTGACCCCCTAGTAGGTAAAGGTTCAAGGATACCTCTGAGTATCCTACAATACATGTAGGATTATTGACCTAAGATGTTAGTAGAGCTGGCCCTGCTTAAAAGTTTCTGTCATTAAACTGTTCTGATTAAATACTTATTGAAACATATACTACTTTGGTTTTGATTTCTACCAATCAATAATAAAAATAATTAAAGCTAATGTTTACATAGTCCTTGATAACATGTCATAGTACTGTCACATACATCATCTCATTAGCTGGGGCACCCTTTACTTTTCTTTCTGCTCTATTATGACTGTCTCTTCAGTCATTGACATTTATTAGCAAATATGTTACACTTAATTTGCTTTGTAATTTTGAGGCCATTGTTGAAACAACTGTGTGAATTGAAATTTTCTTATTACCAGTTCATATTTCAACTCTGATGTTATAATTCCTTCTCCAGTCTGGGTGTAGCCCTCAAAACTTCTAAGAGGTATCTGATGTTTATGTTTTCTTGCTTATGGTTACCTGGGTTTTTAGCCCTGAGCTTCTTCCTTCTTTCCCTTATCCCCATCACGATTCCACTCCACCCCGTCTGTGCAGTAAGGGCAGAATCATCTTCATTTATTCTCCTTCTCCTGCTTAATATAAATCTCACTTTTATAGCATTCTCTAAAATACTCTTTGTATCACTTGATTTCCAGTAAGACCTAGCAATCCACATTAAGTGATAGAAAGGAATCATTTTCTACTGAGAATTAATTAAACTAGTAATGTTCAGAAGAAAAATAAATCACTTAAGGTATACTTTTTGTTTGAATAGCATTAAGTAACAATAATCCATGCTTAACAGTGAAAAATTAATGTTTTCAGAATTACTAAGTAAAATGCTAAAGCCCTTTATCATGAAAGCAGCATTACATTTTCAATGAGATAAGTGAACAGAAAACAGCCATGAATTGTGTGAATTTATACTGAAAGGTCACCATAACTTGATGAGACTATAAATGCTTAAGCCTGAGATGTTGGGTTCTTAATTCTATTATGTAAAAAAGTAAGCATCTATGTCTTCTTTCAGGAAAATGCCAAAAAATACAGATCTCAGCAAGCTTACAAAACTTCAGCTATTTAGAGAAAATGACATCCTGACTTTTTGAATAAGCAAGCAATTGGTTAACAAAATATGATTGCTGTAATGCTTACTTGATCCTTGGAAAGACTCTCATCTGTGTTCCAAATTGGTTTGGAGGACTTTGCACAATACATGGCAGAGAGGCATAATTTACCAAGGCCAAAGGAGTAACCTTGGATTTGAAATATGCCACAGATAATACTTTTTTCACATTCCACTACTGTAACTTCTTTAACTTTATAAAAGTGAGATTCTTTATTCTAGAAGGATAAAGAAAGGTCCTTCTGGAAAAAATATAGTTACTTAGTTTGTGATTCAGTTTTTGAAAGTCATATCCTTATTCAAGCTTTTAATGTGTCTTAGACAAGAATTTTCCCCATGCTAAATGCTCTCAAGGTCCTCTGCACCTGTAGTATCATGGCTTTTATAAGTTGTGGAATCAAGAGAATCAGTATCAGATGACAGGTGTTGTCCTGGCTTAATGTATTCAGAACTATTTGTCATCCATTGACTTTTTTGATTCTATCCATACACCTTGCCCATAATTTCAAGAGACCTCATTTTAATAGCAATAATATATATATAGGTAGTAATGCTGAAATATACTTTATTCTCCTTTCTTCTTGTGCCCTTTATCAGTGAATCTTATAGTGTACTTGTTATTTTTTAATTAGTGTCTTTCTCTTGGTGTCAGCTGAATGCAAGCTCTTGTTATCCTTGTCCTTGTAACCATTTTCCCCATTAAATCTTAAGGATTTGGGGAAACATTTGTATTCCATTTTTCTGTCTTAA